GACATGATTCCTTGAAAAACACAGCTTTCATTGAATTGATCACAGGATAGTTGTGCAAATAGGATAATACAATATAAGGGCTTTTCCTACTGTGAGAAATTTAACTTTGCTTTTCCCGTAGTGTCCATTGTTCTGGAATTGCTTACAAATATGGAACATATTTCTGGGAATTGTACCTACACCTTTAAAATGTTATCAATCTCGAAATTTCAAAAGTCAGATTTTGTTGGATACTACATTTCTTCGCATTCTCTTTTGTTTAACTTTAGGCTAATTTATCCTGACACTGCAGCTGCAGGGCCCTGCCCTGCACAGTCTGTCATTAAGAGCACCAGGAATGAACTGGAGGCTTGGAACTGTTGGAAGTTAATTTGGCGTAAACCTAACGTTCAACGATTTCTAGACATATGACTTGGCATGTCTGAGTGCAGTTACTTACACGTCTAAGTTTTTATTTATATTATAAATATGTCTTTTACAGTTATCTTTCAAAGCATTCAGTACTTTGAAGAGGATTCCTGAGGAGCTATGGTGATACAAGGCTTGTTAGGCATGTTTTATAAGAATGTCAATGTCCACTTGAATCACAAAGCAACCCTGTCAGTCAGTTGTTGGCAGATCATGGTTTTGGCGTCTTGTGAGGAAATCAAGCACGGGTAATCAGAATTCTACATTCACACTTTACAGCCAGATCAGTCATTAAGAGTTTTCTGGTTTGGCAGATGAGATGATCTTTAGGTCCTTTCCAATCCTAAATTCTCTAAACCCTCCTGGTTCAAATGAGGCAGAGGGGTGTATGTTAGTTAGTGACTCTGAAACTGCCTAGATCAGTATTTTCCTGATAAGGAACTAGTCGTCCTGCTGCTTCTTAAAATTTAATTCTCTGACTTAGGTTTGGTATCTAGCTAACCTTACAAATCACCATGAGCAGCAACTAACTCTGGAGACCATTTACTAGTTGGTAACTTCTGACTAGATAGTCCATCCTTGGAGTTGAGATAACACAGCAGTCTTGTTGTGTGGTAAGTTATCTGAATTGTCCCTCTCACATTCACTGAGGCAGCCCACGTATGAGTTTTTATATAAGCCGTTTGAGATTCGCCCTTTATGCTCTTCTAATGATTCTTTGAGGCAAAGTTAAAGATCACGAACCTTAACTTGAACTGACTGGTGTCATGGCAACTAGCACTTCACCTTTTGCAGGTCCCCACCTCATACATGCTACAATATTTGTGCACATTAATAATTCATTACAAAGTGCCAGATTTCTTTGTGCTGTCAAACTGTGTCAAGGACCGACTATGCTGTGCTATCTCAGATGTCACCTACCAGACTGTTGAGGGCAAGAGTAATTAGAAAGGAAAACTAGTCTGGTTACTTAAGAAAATTCCTGAAAATGTGATGCTTTTTAGCCATTCATTTATAGCTTTTTTTTTTTTTTTTGTAAAGTAAGGAATAGAATTAGTGTTGACCAAAGTTTATTTGATAATGTGTCCCAGACATAAGGCAGGAGTTTGGCTATGGGAATAATAACACCAGCGATAATTGCTCACCTCTATTCAGGCAGCAAGGGAAATGATTAACCATCTTAGTGTTCACTCACATGTATTAGGCTCTGGTGTGAAACCTGAGCACAGGTTTAAAAAGGAGTTTGAGTGGTCCTGATGTGAATGCTCTTATCCCAGACTTGTCTTTGCCCGGCACACATTAGGAGCTCAGTAGGAATTTGACACGAGCTTTGGAATCCAACCATTCTGAGTTCCAAGGCTGATTGTGTGGCCTTCGACAGCTTGCTTCACCTCAGTTTCTTCAACAATTTGTTCATGTTGCCGACATTATCATTAGTAGCTGTATTATTTCCTATAGCTGGTGAGCCTTTCCAGATAAAGAACATTAGCCCTTTTGTCTTAACATGTAGAAAATATACTGACATATTGGAGATAACTGATTTAGAAGGCCAAATTTTCCCTTCTTAGAGAAAGAAATTATGTATTTTAAATAGAACATTCCCCTGCCAGGACCTGTTTGTTTTGTTTTAAACTGATTTCCTCCTTCTTCAAAGAAAGCTTCATACTGAAACAAACAGACCTGTTTCACACTTTACTAGCTACTTAAGGTGAAGCATACATACTTATGTTTATAACCTACAATTACAAACAATTTTAGTTACATAGCCATGTTTAGATTCTTGTGTTTCTCTTTTATCCTTTTTTTTTAAAAAACAAAACCAGTAGCTTAACTGCCCCTCTGAACCACTCTCCTTCACCTCCCCTGGGGAGGAGGGTTGGCGAAGCAGCCCCTAATCACATTTTGTAGAATATGCATAGTACCCTGCTTGTGTGTAGGATCAACTAGAACTGTTTTATGCTTGGTGTACTGATTTAACACAGTTCAGTGCTGGTAATTATCAGTTCTGCTGAGAGACAGGAATGGGACCAGCTCCTGTTTTACCCATCATTGTATGGCCAGGTCTTAGCACAGTACCTGCATATAGTATATAGTAGGTGTTCAAGAAATGTGTGTTGAATAGTACCATCAGACCAGTTTCAGATGGGATATATGTGACATGAATCAGTTTCAGAACCCTTGCAACAAATTAAGCTAAAAAAAAAAAAAAAAACAGTTAGGAACTTGTTAATCTCCTATCACCTACCTTTGTATGGTGCTGGAGATCTGGATTAGTCATTTAACACCTGCAGGCAAGAACATAGCACAGGAATATGCAGAAGTCATTAGCACCAACCCACTCTGGTGTCTGTGTGTTTCTAATCAGAGTGGATACTGGCAGTTTAAAAGAGCGCACAGCTGACACGAGTCAGGTTTGTCAGGTATTGTTACTGATATTTTATATTGTGTGTAATTACTTAGGATTTAATATTAAGTCTTCTACTTACCTGCATTCAGAATGTTAAACGTACTTGGCAAACATTTAATACTTGGAAGTGATCTCTGGGTCATTTAATAGGAAACAATCATAACAAGATACTTAAAAGATTTATAGGCTTGATTGCTGTTAGGGATATTTTTCTAATTTAAATTGGACTTTTAAGCTTCTTTGCCATGTTGCTTTATAGCAATTCTGTGATATGTTGTTGTTTTTCCATGCCATCGAGTCAGTTCTGACTCATAGCTACCCTGTGCACGGCAGAAGGAAACATTACTTGCTCCTGCACCATCCTCACAATTGTTGCTATTTTTGAGCCCATTGTTGGCAGCCAGAGTGTCAATCTATCTCTTTGAAGATCTTCCTATTTTTGCCAATCCTCTACTTTACCACTTATGATGTCCTTCTCCAGGGACTAGTCCCTCCTGATAAAATGTCCGAAGTAGGTGAGATTGAAGCCTCACTATCCTCCCTTTTGAGAAGCATGCCAGCTGTACTTCTTCAAAGACAGATTTGTTCATTCTTCTGGCAGTCATGGTATATTTAATATTTTTGCCAACATTATAGTTCAAAGACATCAGTTCTTCTTGGTCTTCCTTTTCATATTTGTGATTATTATGGCCACATACAAGCTATAGAGACTAAAGTTGAATTCATAATTACCTGAAGTACCAGTTCTCAACATTTTTGGACTATCAAAACAACAATTACTATCATAATTGCCCTAACCATTCTTACTTAATACTAAATAAATAAATAAAAATCAAGCTGAAACCTGTATCTTAGAGAAATAGAAAGTCAAGATGGTCTACAATAATATTAGACAAAGGCTTAATATTCTGACCACTTTTCAATAAAAAATTATTGGGAGACTCTAGTGATATAATTAGTATGAAGCACTTTGAAGAACATAAAATGCTATATAAATATGTGATTAATTTTACACTTTGAATAATGTAGGAGGGAATTGGGGGTAGATTGTCATGGCAGAGAAGAGTTGATGGGGAAAAACTGACAGGTGATAATAAGCATGACATACGAGGAGCCGTATGGAGACTCAGACAAGCAGGGTATAAGATGGGGAGGGTGCTATACGATTGTTCAGAAGTAGACTGGAGAATACTTTGGAATACTGGACAAAGATTAATATGGCAACTGTGTACATCATGGGTTAGAACATAAAAAATACTTCAGCGTTAATGGAATCATTGTTTTTCATCTTGTACATGTAAAAGTTATAACAAATTAGTCATGCTTAAAACAAAAGCTCAGTGATATCTTTGTCAAGAAATCTTTTAAGAAGAGAATGCAGCTCTTTAAGTTGGCTGTGTACTACCTTTTTTAAAAAAAAAAAAAAACTTCATAAATCATGGGAAGCTGTGTTGGCAGTAGGATATAACTCAACGTAGACAGATTGCTGTTTGCTGCTTTCTTTTAAGAAGCAGGTTATAAAACTGTTGGGAGTTTTGTAGAGTAGTTAATAGATCATCTTAAGCAATTTGAAGTAATTTTTTTTTTTTTTTTTAAATACAACCTTGCATTTTGAAAGCCAGAAAGCTAGAGGAGAAGGAGAGTTTAGTGAATAAGGAATCGGCGCCACCTCTGGGGCCACTGCTTGGCCACGTACATTTGTGGTACTGAATGGCCAGTCTTCTGCCTCCATGAAAGCGTCACTCTCAGTAATAAACCCCACAGTGGGGTGTGAGCATTCAGAACACTACAAGTTTTGTTCAGTGCAGAGTTAGCATCATGACACAGTCTCATCTCAAAAGTTTCTGTATTTCCATCCTAAAATACTTTAGATGACTATCACTTAAAAGGTGCTGAAGAGCCCTTTGCTAATGGCTTTCTTCTCATCTCTGGACATTGTCCCTAAAAGCTCTTGTCTTGCAAGCTTGTTGGCTGTGGCTTACAATAGGTCTGCCATGCCATTGATGTGTGCCAAAGTAACTAGACACTTGAAGGATCTTCTCTTTGTTTGATAAATGTAAATGAATTTAGAAATGTAACATTATGTGGGTAAATGTTTGTCTTATAATCTTGAATTGGATATTACATGAAACTTTTATGATGTCAGTTCTAAAGCCTAACGCTTCTTTTTTTTTTTTTTTTTCAGACCACTAAGGCTTTTCTTCCTACAATGCTGGAGATTAATCATGGTCATATTGTGACAGTTGCAAGCTCCTTGGGATTGTTCAGTACTGCTGGAGTTGAGGTTTGTCAAATATAAAGCATTTCCTTAATTCAGTCAGTTACCTTGTGAAGAACACACCAAAATCCTAAGAATAGTATGGTTCATGACAGCCCGTGAAAACACTGTACCTGTGTACTGTTTGTAGAATGTTGCACAATAACATAGGTGGATGATTGTGTCCACAGACAACTGTCAAAATGAAATTCTGCCTTTCCTGCCATAAAATCACTTACAGTGGTTTGACAAAGGAGCAGCAGCAATGACAAGGATGGGCCCATTTTCATTAGCAGTTCACTGGATGATGCTGGAAGCACAGGGTCAAGAATGGAACTGTGGAGGGCAGTGACAGTGCTATGGGTAGTAGATAAATGAGGCCAAAGGTTGACGTTCTGTTTTGGTTAGTCTTGCTAAAAGTGAGCTCTCTTGCATTAGTTCATCAGATGAGATGGTCATCACCAGGCATCGTAGACTCTAAAGTTTGTAGAAATGAACCTATTTCAAAGAACTGGATTTAATCAAACTCTGTTCTTCACCATATTCAAATTATAGCATGTGTGGGTGTGTATAATTCTGTGCTGTTTGCATAAAATTGACAACATCATTTGATGCAATAGCCAGTTTCTATATTCAGGGAATTTATGTTTCCCTTCTTGAATTTTAAGTTGAGTAGTGTAGAAGAACTTCTCTACCTTGTGTCCTAAGATTAAGTTCTAGTTTAAGTTTATGGGATCTAGTTGTTTTCATTTTTACTTCCCTGTGAAAGTAAAGTCAAATCATAATGACTTATAACCTAAACTAGACTTGCCTTTGTTCTTCTAGCATTAATTTAAACAAACTGGTTTTTCAGTCTACTTCACTGAACAAGAGATCGTTTGTAAATTTTCCAGACACTTCAAAGTGAGCCTCTCTCCATTTTTAACTTCAGCTTGTTGGCTTTCATAGAATCCTTTGTGGTAACTTCCCTAAAGTAATATGATCCTTAGTTGATGTGGCAAAAAGTGTTCATCTGTTTCTGCTGTTGCTTTGAAAATATTATTTCTGCACTGAACCACATCAGCTATCAGTCTTGAAAATGGTTTCCTTTTCTTTGCTTAGTCACCTGTAACTCTTTGTATCAAACATCTAATGAAAGCAATAGGACCAGCGGAGCTTCACTGTGGTTAGGGGTTTGTGCACATACTTAGCATTTCTGTTCTCTCCCTCCTCTAACTCAGGATTACTGTGCCAGTAAATTTGGAGTTGTGGGTTTTCATGAATCTCTGAGCCATGAGCTAAAAGCTGCTGAAAAGGATGGCATTAAAACAACACTGGTTTGCCCTTACCTTGTAGACACTGGCATGTTCAGAGGCTGCCGTATCAGGTCAGTAAGAACCTATCTTACTTCTGATTAAAAGCTGTTTTTAAAATCATCTTTCCTTATTGGGGGAATACAGGAATTGGATCTTCAAATGTAGTCAGTCTTGCATTTTAACATTTAACAATTAATTTCATTTTCATTGGTCACAGTTTATAAAACTGAGGTGTGTAAGATTGACAAGTAGGGTGCTAGTATCATGCTACTATAGTTTATTTTAATCTTCTGTATTGTTGTAAAAATACAAATATCAAAATATTTGCCATGTCAGCGTTTTTCAGGTATGGAGTTTAGTGCTATCAACTACGTTAGTTGTGTTGTGCCACACTTGCAGAAGTTAATTTAGACACACCAAATAAGAAATGGCTTCTCCACACCTCCCAGGAAGAAAAAGTAGTAATAGGATTTTTCTTAAAAGTTACTTCTTTGGAAGTTACTTTGTTTCTGCAATATTAAACACCCCCCCCCAAAAAAAAAATTGCCATTGAGTCGACTTTGAGTCACAGCAACCCTACAGAACAGGGTTTCCAAGGCTATAAATCTTTACTTGAGCAGACTGTCACATCTTTCTTCCACAGAGTAGCTGGTGGGTTTGAACCACTCGACCTTCGGGTTAACAGCTGAGCACTTAACCACTGTGCCACCCGGTCCCCTTTCTGTGGTATTAGTGTTGGTAAAAACGAGCTCCAGGAGAAATTGCATTAATGTGACTGATTTGGAAATGAAACAATCCCACTATCACAGAGGAGTATGGAGACTCCTTCTAAAAGACCTCTGAATGTTACACTCCAGATTTGGAAACTTCCTTTTTGTAGAGAGTGTATGTAGTTAGATTCATTCTGACAGAATGAGAAGAGCTGTTTGGATTTACTAAAAATGAAATAAAATACCCACACACTTTGAAAGGAGGCATATGGGAATTTAAATGTCAAGTTACATCTGACTTGAGCTGAGCCAAATAAACAAAACCAAGAATCATTAAGAGGATACTTGTGAGACCTGCTTACTTTGAGATCTTTGCTTGGATGAATTTGAAAGGCAAAGGAAGATAACTAAACCAGTCCCTATAGGCCTAGGGGCCATTCTTAACACACACTGAACCTGAACAAGCAGTGAAGTAGGTAGAGGGTGACTTACTGCCTCCATCCTTAAAATGGAAGCACTGAGGTTGAGTAATCCCAATCTCAAACTGACTCTGAGTCCAGACTCGGGAAGAGACTAGAGTTTGTCCCCTTTGCCCTTGTGTGTGTGTGTGTGTGTGTGTGTGAGAGAGAGAGAGAGAGAGAGAAAGAGAATGGGGAATGGGTTGGGTGCGAGGAGGAGGAGGTTTGGTTTGATGTTTTCCCCTTAAGTGCCTACAAGCCAGTTCCTGAGGATCTGGAGGAGCTCTATTTCCTATCTAGCAAGACAGCAGGTGCAGGTGTCCATGACTATGGCAGGATAACAGAAAGGGAAAGGAATAAACTGTATTGTTAGGTTCTTTGATCATGTAATTTAATGAATTGATGTCTATATGCACTCATTTCAGAGACCCGTGGAGCATTCCCTATTCAGGTACTCTAGAATGCATGGAACTGACTTTTATTTAACGCAGATAAATTAAGCCAATGTAGACGTGCAATTATTTTAATGACATTTAATACGAGAAGCTTGGCATCTTGTCTCGATTTAGTGTTTGTTACGCCTAACACCCTCTACTTTTTCTATTGAGAGGAAAAAAGAAAGAATCAGAAATGCATTTTGAGGTTTTGTAAGAATATGAGTTTCTCATTTTAAGGAAAAGCAGACCAATTGTGCTTTTTTTTTAAAAAAAACTTGTTTTCCAGATTATGCAAATAAATTATGTTAATAGTAGGAAAATTTGGGAGCTTCAGAAGGCACAAAGAAGAATATACAACATGTGCATGATCCCATCACTCAGATAGCCACACTATTGTTTTTGATATATATTTCTACTTCCTTGTTTTGGGTTCATTCTTAATTTCAGTTTTTGAATATGTAACTTTCAGGAAAGAAATCGAGCCTTTCCTGCCACCTCTGAAACCTGATTACTGTGTGAAGCAGGCCATGCAGGCCATCCTTACGGACCAGCCCATGATCTGCACCCCACGGCTCATGTACATTGTAACCTTCATGAAGAGGTAAGTTTGAAGGGTTCCCCAGGGGGCCATGTCTATCCAACCTACCTCACTAACGTCATGAGGCTTCTTGTTCGCTAACAATTGTGATTTTCCCTTTTCAGCATCCTCCCTTTTGAAGCAGTTGTGTGCATGTATCGGTTCCTAGGAGCGGACAAGTGTATGTACCCTTTTATTGCTCAAAGAAAGCAAGCCACAAACAATAATGAAGCGAAAAATGGAATCTAAGAATCTTTTGTACAGAATATCATTTGTATCAGAAGATGATCAAACTGTTTCAATCCAGTACACATCAGCATTACTGATATTCTCTAGAGTCTATACCCATGTTGACTTTTTTTTCAAATCAACTTTTTAAAAAAATTAAGTGTGAATTAACTGAATAAAGTACTGGAAAAAATGTGATCAACAAAAATGAAGTTACGTTATATTGCCAACGGGGTCCTTTTAGAGAGAACCCTAAAACCAGTCAAACCTTTTGACATGCACTGTGTGATATCTTCAGACTACCATTATTTTTTTTAATGAACAGAAAGTCTAGAGATAATAACTACAGTGTGTTTCATGTGTGTCGTTTTTCTTAATCCCCATAGAGTTTATTAATTCTTATCATTAAACTCTAGCCAATTGACATCCTTGCAACTTCAAGGACTAATAGTGCTATATTATCTCATTTCCTAAGTCTGTTTTGTAAAATCTATGTGGCTTTAAATAATGGTATTTTTATGTTGAGCTCTGTTAAAAAGGAATTTCTAAATCTTCATCAATTTGAGGTAAATGATATTTGAGTTTTATGGTAAAGGTAATCAGGTCTCTTTCATAAAGTCATAATAACTAAAGCCATTAGCTGAATTTTCTCTGAAATATTTCATTAAGTATCTGTTTCTCCAGAGACCTAGTTATCCAAAAAGACCATACATTTTCTACCTATGAATTTTGCTGCATACAGAAAGTGCCCTTTCCTCAGGAAGTTGCTATGTTTCATTCCTTTGGGTGGACTCTTTGCTAGCACACATAGCAGCTCCACAAAGAAACAATTTCTGAAGATGGGACCTTCTACCTAGACAAGTCCCCATTTTTGTGCCAACAATGATTGGAGAGGAGAAAGAAATCGTATTCTATGGAGTATGTATGGAAGGGTGTAAAGATTCTTTTGAAAGTTTTATTCACATTGTAGAACCGCAAATGAAATTTTTACAGTATTTTTTTGTAAAGCAAACTATTTTGTGCCTTGAATTTGGTATATGTGTATTAGTGAAACATTGTAAAAGTGAACTTCTACCTCTGTATCTAAATGTATACCATCCACTTGTAAATTACTATAAACTATTATGTGATTGCTTTTCTTTTTTTTTTTTTTTTTTAGAATGTCTTGTTTAAATAGTGACCAATGTTTAAGGCTATTAAATAAGCCGACTTTTACTAATTAATTGGGAAGTTTTATAAAGGACTGATTAAATCTAAAGAATTAACTTACATACAACTGACTGTGTGATTATTAGTTATCATCATTGTTGTAAAGGAAAATTATCATGAGTTTTGTTTTTGTCTTTTCTGTGCTGTCTCCTGCCTTAAAGAAAAATGTTTGAATGGGACAGCATTTGGGAACAGACATTAGCAATTTAGGATGACATTTACTCAAGTTTCCAGTGTTCCCATCTACTCAGACGCTGTCATGGTCTTGCTTCTGCTGAAAGTAGAAAAACGAAGAATCCTATTACCTGTCTGGCTACACACCAGATCAAATCTCTGTACTGTATCCACATAGGCAGGGTTCTGGCTCATTGCTGAAACCAGGTGCCATCAAGTCAAGTCACTTCCAACTCACGGTGACCCCAGGTGTGTCAGAATAGGGTTTCCCTAAGATTTTCAGTGGCTGCATTTTTCAGAGTTAGATCACCAGGTCTTTCTTTTGAGGTGCCTCTGCATAGACTTAACCTTCCATTCTTTGGTTCACAGTCACGAGTCCATTAACTGTTGGCATCACCCAGGGACAAGCTTGCTGCTAGTGTCCCTCAATGCTGGTCTCAAGGAATAGCTTCATCATATATTAGAATTTCTCTTTATAAGTAATAACCAAACCTGAGACCATAATAGCAATTGAGGCATTAGCCACTTCTTAATTTCAGTTAAATATTGAAATAAGTACTTTGAAGTAGTCCATTAACTGTGTGGAGTGGGAACAGATTCTTTCAGAGGCTATCCAGGTTTGCCTTCCAGTTAACCTGGAGCAAACTCAAGCTGTCCCAGATCTGCTCTTACTTGATGTCCCGTTTATCAACCTTAAGACTAAGGAAAGTCGTCTTTATGTTTACTTTTATTTTCATGTGTTGCTATTTAAACCTATTCCTGTTTTAGTTTGTTATTTCCCTTAAGAGGTTGTCCATCTTCAAGTTTAATAAACCTGATTCATTTAACATTTTGGGTAGAAGTCTTTCATTCTCATGTCACAGCCAGTTTAATTACTTCTTGGTTCTCCCTTGAATATTGTCCAAATTCTCTTTCCCATCTTTAGCCAAGAAGTTTGGAAGAGGATACAGTTAATGCAAGTTTAAGGCTGTAGGATCTGCATGTTGCATTTCTTCATCCCAGTCATGTTCTTAGTATAATGCCACATTACTGATTGATACTGTTTTCCCCTCATAAATGTGAACTCTTGTAGCCTGCATACTTGTGTTAAATCACTTACATAATTGCCAAGGTCACTTCCCTGCTTATTGTTCATCCACACCACCCCCACCCCTCCTCGATGTTAATGTTGTCTTTGAATTCTGTTCTCTTTTCTATCACCCTAGCCCATTCATGCCAATGTTCAGGGCCACTGGGCTCAAGGCTGACCCCCTACAGAGTACCTCTTCTGTCCCCCAGTTAGTACCAACTCCTTCTCTCTCTAACCTTTCATCCAGTTTAATGATAATCATAATTGAGTGGGACCTGGGAATCAAAAGTTTTGAAGCCAGGCAAAGATAAATTCCAACTATTGTTCTCCCCCTTGATCTACCAGGTCTGCTGCTCTGTCACAGAAGATTAGATTAGCTTGACAGCACTGAACAGAAAGCCAGGCTGCTTGTGTGTGCGTGATTTTTATTTTTTTAAAGAGTCTCCTATTTCCTTAGCTTTCACATTTTTTCCAAGTTAAAAAAAAAAAAATCAAGTCATATCTTTTTCAAAATTTACTTTTCCAACTGGTAGAAATAAGTCTAAATTGACGTTGACCTGAATCTTGAAAATTTGCTTTGCCTCCCACAAAATATAAAGTCAGTGCGGGTTGGGGGCAGGAGGGTAATTCTTTGATGCCAAATTTATTGCCTGTATCTGATTAAAAAGAAAAGTAGGGAGAGCGTGGCTATTATGGACCAGAGTGACTGGGACTCAGTGCCAGGAAGCCTGTAGTGCAGCATTTGCCCACATTCAGTTGACCAGACACACTGGGCATGTGCTAGGTTCAGGATCTATGTTGGGGACTCAAGTAGCTTGCAGTTAACTCACAAATACAAATACATGTATCTTTATGTGCCCACCCAAAATGCCTCAGTGTGACAAGAAGAGGTAAGGGGAAAGAAAGCTGGTGAAGCAACAGGTGAAAATGGGAATGGGAGCTTAGTCATTGCAGGGAATGAGTTATCAGGAATGGTACAGAGGTTGGAAAAGAAAGATTATACTCATGGCTGAAACAAAGGCCATGCAAAAAGAAGGGCATGCGTTCCCCAAGAAGGCCCCATCTTGAGAGTATCCTCAGGGATGAGGACTGGATGCTTCATTTGATAGAGAAGAGGGAAGCTCTAGAAAGATTTTTAGCAGGTTGGTGTAGGCAGAATTGTGAATTAGTAGGACCAGTTAACCTGCTGTAGAGGATTTCCAAGAAGTAGGAGACCAGTTAGGAGGGAAGCTATGGCAGTAGTCCAGGCAAGAAGTGATAAAGACCAGCAAGAGAGTGGCGGCCGTGAAAATGGAAAGGAAGAGGTGGGTGTGAGAGTTTTGGTTGGGGAACCTGTAAGGTTCAGCAACTGATTGCACAGGGGATTGGGCCTTGAAGCTGGAAAGATTGAAGAATGGAGACTCCATGATGAGCCAGGTCTTCTTTAGTGAGAGCAGAACAGTGAACCTGATTTTGGAAATGCTACACTCAAGATGCCTGTGGCCATGACTGGGAGGCAGGTAGACTTGTAGCTCTGTTCCTCAGCAAAGACACTGGTGCTGCATTCCTCAGATGACGCAAAAGAGAAGAATTCCAGAGATAAAACTTTGGGGAACGTGACAGGACAGGGAGAAGGGGGGATTTCATAAAAGGTGATGTTGGGGCAAAGTTAGGAGGAGAACACACTCTAACAATTATCTCCTCTGCCTGGACCTAATCCCCAGGCTGAGTCACACATGAGAAACAAACCTCAGTCTGGCCCAAGAAAGAGTCTAAGTGGCCAGGCTAGGGGCAGGGGCCCAAAAGGTGAAGGGCAGTGTTAACAGATAACACATGGAGTCTTACTGAGCTTCTAGTAACTGAATCCATTGTTAAAACGACAAAAGGAAAATTTCTTGCTAAGTGAAAGCTGGAAGCCGTTGTTCTTTAACAATTTTGTTTGCTTGGCCTCAGAAGCATGACTTGCCTAAATTTTGTGCAGCCACTGTTTTCATGAGAACCCTGAAGAAAAACAAAATGCATTTCCAGTATCACCAAATGGATACATGTTATTTCAAATGAACCCTTTTTTATAAGACAAAAGATGTGACAAGACCAGCTTCTATCAGTCTGTATGACCAGGTGGGCTCCTATCTGGTTCCCTGGAGTCATTAAACTCAGCTGCCAAGAACTAACTGTCCTGGGCCAAGTCCCGGTCAAGACTCCTGCCCACTGCCTTCCCCTTCTCTCCTACTAAATGTCAAGGCGGAAGAGCAAGTGATGAAACCCCAGGTACTATTCAGTTTGCCTGTTCCTGAGGCTTACATTTCTGACATTATACTAGCTATTTCAAAGCACTCATGCATTTTCACAGCTATCCCTCTGTTGTGGATTGAATTGCCCCCCCCTTCAAAAAAAAAAAAAAAAGTGTTGTAAATCCTAACCCCCCCTATACCTGTGGTGGGAGCTCTGGTAGCATAGTGGCTAAGGCACTTGACTGCTAACCAGAAGGCTGGTGGTTCAAACCCACCAGCCACTCCTCGGAAGGAAGGTTGGGCAATCCTACTTCCGTAGTGATACTGCCTCGGAAACCCAAGGAGGGGTCGCTATGAGTCGGGGCCGACTCTACAGCAAATAACAACAATAACATACCTGTGGTTATAATTCCATTTGGGAATGGGTTTTCTTTGTTATGTTACGGAGACAGCATTGGTGTAGGATATGTCTTAACTCAATTTCCTTTGAGATATAAAAGAGATTAA